CTGGGATATTCCTGGGGAGACATTTCACCAGCTCTCGCACCCAGGGGTGCTATAAAGACAGACCCAGCTACGCAGACATCATTTCCTTATCAGTACTGCCACTTACACAATGCCTTATCGTACCAGTTCTAGATTTAACTATAGGAGATTCTGCTAGGCATAACCAACCTTTACCCCGGGCAAACACACCGGGAGGAGAAAAACGCATTTCCCCCGTTTGCAAATTTATGACACCAACTGAAAATCCTGAGTCACTGCTACCTGAGATTAAGTACTGCGCAATCTGGGGAGACCATCGGCCGAGCCCAAGGTCCTGAGGCCAGCGGGGGGGGGGGGGGGGGGGGGGGAGAGGGGGAAGAAGCACACAAGGGTACTGTGGTTCACAGCCCGGCTGAGGGGTGATTGACTGGAGCCATGAGTGCTGGTCAGAAGGAAATGTGCTGTGTAGGAGTAAATCCGGGCATTCAGCCTGGTCTCACCCTCCACCCACTGCCAGCCAGGAGATGCCACTCAGTGGCTGCCCCTCTGCCTAGGAGACCTGGCTCCAATATGGCATTCAGTTGTTTGTTTAAGAAAAGGTCATCCCAGAGACCCAGGAGGCTGAGATCTGAGGATCGCAGTTCAAGGCCAGCCCGGGCAGGAAAGTCCTTGAGACTCTGATCTCCAGTGAACCACTAGAAAACTGGAAGTGGCGCTGTGGCTCAAGGGGTGGAGCGCCAGCCTTGAGTGAAAGAGCTCAGGGACAGCGCCCAGGCCCTGAGTTCAAGTCCCACCACCGACAAAAAAAGAAAAAGAAAGAAAAAAAGAGCTTACTAACTTTTCTGCCCTGGATTTGGCCTCACACTTCAGTCTGCCCAGCTCAGCCTCCCGAGGAGCCGGGATGACAGGCCTGAGGCATCTATCTGTTCCAAGCCCAGGGTTAGAATTTTGTTTTGTTTTGTTGTCAGTCCTGGGGCTTGAACTCAGGGCCTGGGCGCCGTCCCTGAGCTCTTCAGCTCAAGGCTGGTGCTCTACCACTTGAGCCACAGCGCCACTTCTGGTTTTCTGGTGGTTCATGGGAGATGAGAGTCTCACAGACTTTCCTTGCCCAGGCTGGCTTTGAACCGTGATCCTCAGATCTCAGCCTCCTGAGTCGCTGGGATGACAGGCAGGAGCCATGGCGCCCGGCCCCCATGGTTAGAATTTTTGAATGAAAGTTTAGGTTCATTTTTAAGCCAGAGTCCTCATCCCAGTCACTAGCAGTTCTTAGTGCTTACAAAAAACAGAGTTAGCTTCTGAGAGAGATCTGCAGCCCTCCGACACCCAAAAGTACCCTTAAAGCAATGTAGACGGCTCATTCTCCCAGGTGTCTAAGAATGTGGGGAGTCAGAACAATTTTATAAAGAAATCTTCCTAGAAAGGTCTAGAACTCCCTTCCCATAGAAGGTTCTAGAATGCCCTCCCAACAGAAAGTTCTAGAACTCTCTCCCCATAGAACAGTCTAGAATGCCCTCCCAACAGACAGTTGTAGAACTCTCTCCCTATAGAAAAGTCCACAATGCCCTCCCAATAGAAAGTTCTAGAACACCCTCCCAATAGAAAGTTCTAGAACACCCTCCTAATAGAAAGTTCTAGAACTCCCTCCACTTGCCCAACTTCTTTAGCAATCCATATCCTTGGAATGTACCAGGTTCTTTCTTTCTTTCTTTCTTTCTTTCTTTCTTTCTTTCTTTCTTTCTTTCTTTCTTTCTTTCTTTCTTCTTCTTCCTTCCTTCCTTCCCTCCCTCCCTCCTTCCTTCCTTCCTTCCTTCCTTCCTTCCTCCCTCCCTCCCTCCCTCCCTCTTTCCTTCCTCCCTCCCTCCCTCCTTCCTTCCTTCCTTCCTTCCTCCCTCCCTCCCTCCCTCCCTCCCTCCTTCCTTCCTTCCTTCCTTCCTTCCTTCCTTCCTTCCTTCCTTCCCTCCCTCCTTTCTTCCTTCCTTCCTTCCTTTCCTCCCTCTCTCCCTCCCTCCCTCCCTCTTTCCTTCCTCCCTCCGTCCCTCCTTCCTTCCTTCCTTCCTTCCTTCCTTCCTCCCTCCCTCCCTCCCTCCTCCCTTCCTTCCTTCCTTCCTTCCCTCCCTCCCTCCCTCCTTCCTTCCTTCCTTCCTTCCTTCCTTCCTTCCTTCCTTCCCTACCTCCCTCCCTCCTTCCTTCCTTCCTCCCTCCGTCCCTCCTTCCTTCCTTCCTTCCTTCCTTCCTCCCTACCTCCTTCCTTCCTTCCTTCCTTCCTTCCCTCCTTCCTCCCTCCCTCCTTCCCTCCTTCGTCATACTGCAGTTGTTTTCTCCCTCAGAGAAGACTGACCAGCAGTGGCCACGCTGGGTCATCTCCTCGGAGACTAAGGGACAGCTCTGCGCTGCTCTGCCGTGCGCGTCCCCTGCTGACCCTTGACAGTTCCTCCGACCTTCCTTCCAGCTCACCCTTCCCTCCTCTCCCTCCTTCTCCGTCCCTGACTCCAGTTTATCCAACGCCGCTGAACCTCACCGCTCTGCAGGCCCATTTTTCCATCTTGAAGGTCTTCCCTCCACAAGAAGAACTTTGCTCCACATCAACTCACCCCACTGCCCGAGTGGCTTTGTACCCACATCCCCTCCCCCTGTGTTTAACCAGGGTATCGCTGCTGGCGTCTAGAAAACTCTTTGGCCAGAACAGTGGTTGTGCAAGAAAAGCAAAACTCTTTGAGTAGCCGGGTGGTGGTGGCTCCCACCTGTCATCCTTGGGAGGCTGAGATCTGAGGATCACGGTTCAAGGCCAGCCTGGGCAGGAAAAGTCTGGGAGACTCCTAAGCTCTGACGAATCATCATAAAAATCCAGAAGTGGCGCTGTGGCTCAAGTGGTAGAGCACCAGCCTTGAGCTGAAGAGCTGAGGGACAGCGCCCAGGCCCGGAGTTCAAGCCCCACGACCAACAAAAAATAAAATAAAATAAAGTAGCACAGGAAATCAAGGCCAAAAAAGAGAAAGTTACAAGAGGAAAAGGAAAACCAACTAAAAGAGTTGAACACAGATTTGTTTCGCTGAGCCAATCATCTCGCGTATTGCCAGGACTCGAGCTACAGTTATCGCCTGACTTGAAAAGCTAAGGTGTATTCATTTATATTATCAGAACAGCCTTTGATTAGATAAATGCGGTGTTGTGTCCCTCGGCTCACCTGGCTTTGTAATCTAACTCAGCAGGATTGTCCACACCGGCAGATGCGTACAGAAGATCAGAACGTCTCCGTTATACAATGGCTCCACAGATAAGAGCACTTTCATGAGCAGCTATTTTTAAAGTTCTGTGTGCTTTGTTGATTGCCACTGGTTCTATCTGTCATTACATAATTTGAGCATCTAAATAATCTTAAAAAGAATATATATTTATAGATATAGAAATATATTCACATAACATAAATATATGACATGGAATATATAATAATAAATACAAATAATATAAATATTTCTATTTCTATTGTATCTATAAATATATATTGTTTTTAAGATTATATTAGGCATATTCTTATTTATTTTTTTCTGGTCCTGGAGTTTGAACTCAGGGCCTGGGCGCTGTCCCTGAGCTCTTCAGCTCAAGGCTGGTGCTCTACCACTTGAGCCACAGCGCCACTTCCGGTTTTCTGGTGGTTCATGGGAGATGAGAGTCTCACAGACTTTCTTGCCTGGGCTGGCTTTGAACTGTGATCCTCAGATCTCAGCCTCCTGAGTAGCTGGGATGACAGGTGTGAGTCACCATGCCCGGCTAAGTCCTGAATATTCTTTGCTGTGTGCAAGAAATATAAGTATTCAGGCCTTCATTCCTGGTATTAACCAAGACTAGCAAAATGATCTATTTTGAAGCCGGGTGCTGGTGGCTCCCGCCTGTCATCCCAACTACTCAGGAGGCTCAGGTCTGAGGATCACGGTTCAAAGCCAGCTCGGGCAGGAAAGTCCGTGAGACTCTCATCTCCCATGACCCACCAGAAAACCGGAAGTGGAGCTGTGGCTCAAATGGTAGAGCACCAGCCTTGAGCTGAAGAGCTGAGGGACAGTGCCCAGGCCCTGAGTTCAAGTCCCATGACCTCCCCCCCCCCCAAAAAAAAATGTTGTTCTATTTACCGTCTCCTCTGAGGAAGAGCTCGAAAAACGCAGCCCAGGTGTCTATGTCCGGAAGGTCGGGGTTGTCTCGATAATAATGGAAGAGAGAAACAGCCGTGTCTTTGGGGTTTCTGACAATGTAGATCATCTGTGGACGAGATAAATTTATTCTGGGATGGAAATAAACTCAGTGAAAGGGAATGGAGCGAACAAGCAAGCCACACAACCGACATTCTCTAAAAAGAGAGACTAACGTTGATGTAGAAACCCCATCTTTCAAAACTCAACAGGAGCGAGTAGCTCCCGCCTGGAATCCCGGCTACTCAGGAGGCTGAGATAGGAGGATCGCGGTTCCGAGTGAGAGAGATCGCCTGGGGCAATCTGTGAGATTCTTATCACCAATGCCCACCCTTGCCTTGTTAGGGGCTAGTGGAGTCTGGCAGGAGCTCAAAAGAAGCTTCTAGAAGCCAGGGTAAGAGGCTGGATTGAGTAAGACCGCTTGCACGTTGCAGGATGGGTACAAGATATTCCCTTGGCCTCTGAATGGCCAGTCAGGGTGGAAGGCCCGGCTCGGGATGATAAGGAGTTGACTTGCTACTCAGTTTTCATGGCTCATCATTTCTCTGTGTGGTGGACAGAGTCCGGGATTGTTTGTCCACATGAAGAAAGCCGGCTCGTCTCGCATGGAGACGTGGGTAAAGGTCAACGGGGTAGAGGACTGGGAGCCACCTTTACCCCTGCCCGCCCTGCAGTGCTCTCTCCAGCCCCAGACCATCGCCCAGGGCTGGCGCTCTGAGCTTTCTCTACTGGCTCTCGACTTGCCCTGGACGCAGAGATCTCCCTGGTCAACATCTACGGGGAAGACAAAGCAAACAAGGGAAGAAGACAGGGGGAGAAAGGCAGCCATCAACCGGGCAGCTCGGTGGGGATCTCTGTCCGTGTTCATCTGCGATCTGGGGCAATGTGGGAAGTTCTGTACCACCACCCCTGCTGGGTAACACAGCCCAAAGACATGGCGACCAAGAAAGCACAACTGTGATTGGAAGAAGCCAGAGGCCTGGGCCTAGAACAAATCTCAGGGGCTCAGCCAGGCTCCCAGAGATGAAGGGCGCAGGTTTGCTCCCCTGGGCAGAGGCTGGATGGACAGTCCATGGGGACAGGACGGGGGACGGGGGGCTGGACGTCACACAGAGCCAGACCCGAGGGGGATGCTGGGAGGGAGCAGCCCTAAAGGCCAGGCCTGTGATCAGAGGAAAGAGCAGCGATCCCACGGACTCGGGAAACGGACACAGAGGCCTGATCCTTCCATGTGGTTCCTGTTCCTTTCTGTCTCCTGGGTGGGTTTCTCTGTCTCTGGGAGGGTGAGGGGGTCACAGAAATGGGGGGACAGAGGGGAAACCGAGGCAGCCGGGGTCCTCACGGGACACCAGGTGGAGAATGAACTCCACCACTGGTGGGTGGGGACGGGAGGGAAACATGGGGGGAGAGCGAGGGAACGGGGGGGCAGGGTCCACAGAGACACGCGCTCATGACCTGAATGATGTCACTGTCACCCCTCTGCCCGCCACCTTTATAGCAATGATAAAAATGTATTTAGGGCTGGGCAGGTGGCTCGCCTGGCATGCAGGAAGTCCTGGGTTCGATTCCTCAGCACCACAGAAAAAGCCACAAGTGGCGCTGTGGCTCAAGTGGTAGAGCGCCAGCCTGGAGCAAAAAGAAGCTCAGGGACAGCGCCCAGGCCCTGAGTTCAAGTCCCAGGACCGACCAAAAAACTATATATATATATGAAGGAAACACAGGCGTGTGGGTAAGGCTGAGGACTCGGGGGGCTGGGGAGGTCTGGCCATCTTGTGGGAGCCGAGGGAGCGCGGGAGCCCCTCCATCCCCGGCCACTTGTAGCTCTAACGTGTGCAGAGTGAGTGTGTGCCTGCTCACCATCGGTGTCTGTGCCTGGAGTTCAAATCCAGAGTGTGATCAGACCTGCCTCTGCTCAGATACCCCCGCTCCTCGCGCTCGCTCGCTCTGTCTGTCTGTCTGTCTGTCTGTCTGTCCCCCCTCTGTTTTGGCTAGGGGGACAAAGAAGAGAATCCTGAACAGAATTTCTCTGTCTCTCTCTGTGTCTCTGTCTGTGTCTTTCTGTCTCTGTCTCTCTGTGTCTTTCTGTCTCTCTGTCTCTGTCTCTGTCTCTCTGTCTGTCTGTCTCTCTGTCTGTCTCTGTCTCTCTGTCTCTGTCTCTTTGTTTCTCTGTCTCTCTGTGTCTGTCTCTTTGTGTCTCTGTGTCTGTCTCTCTTTGTCTCTCTGTCCGTCTGTGTCTCTGCAGTCCCCTCTCTGTCTTGGGACTGGTTTTTCTGGGGTGAACGTGGCAGGCTGGGTGACTCCATGATGTTCTCGGGCTTGGGATGGATGGCTTGGGAGGAAGCGAACCCCAGGCCTTTTGGCCGGGCTGGCGGGGTGCACAGGCCCCGCAGGCCGCCCCGTGGCGGCCAGGCGCGAGTCCCCCTGCCCTTTCCCGTGCAGGGGCCTGCTGCGGCGGCTCCCTCGCGTCCAGCAATTGATTTCCAGAAATTTCCAGGAATTTGGCACCACATGCACTTGCCCTTGCTTTTCAAGCCTCAGTCCTTTTTGATTTTTTTCCCCCTGATCCGAACAGAATGTTCTGGTGTTCTTTAAACACCCATCTCCAAACGTATAACAACAACAACAACAGTGGCAGAAATAACAACAACAATAATAATAATAGTGACAAAACTGAACTTTGTCTCCTACGTTAGGTAGCTACATCCCATGCAGACTGTCCTGCGCATGTCTCTGGAGACTGTAACCAAACGGATCTTATTGGGCATCTGTGAATGTTTAAAACTTGTAATTATCCTTTCTTTCATTTTTGCCTGGGGTAAGATTTGAACTCAGGGCCCGGGCGCCGTCCCTGAGCTCTTTCACTCAAGGCTGGTGCTCTACCACGTGAGCCACAGCGCCACTTCCGGTTTTCTGGTGGTTCGTGGGAGATCAGAGTCTCATGGACTTCCCTGCCCTGAGCTGGCCTCTAGCCGCGATCCTCAGATCTCGGCCTCCGGAGTAGCCGGGATGACAGGCGGAGGCCCGGTTTTATGACTGTCCTGACGCCCGGCCCTGCACCACGGCGCGTTACCTTGCATTGCTTCTGCTTGATGGTCGCGGGCAGGATCTCATAGCTCAGGTGCGTGGGGATGACTCTCCGCTTCGAACACGTCTTCAGCTCTTCGAACTTGGAGACGTCTCCCCGTTCCAGGGGCGACATCAGCGCGAGTCTGGTGCTGGCGATGTTCTCGATGACTTCTGCGACCCAGTGGGTACCTGTGCGCGTGCGCACACACACACACACACACACGCACACACACACACACACGCACACACACACACGCACACACACACACACACACGCACACACACACACGCACGCACACACAGACACACACACACACGCACGCACACACACACACGCACACACACACACACATACACACACACACATACACACACACACGCACACACACACACACACGCACACATGCACACACACACGCACACACACACACGCACACACACACATACACACACACACATACACACACACGCACACACACACACACGCACACACACACGCGTGCACACACACACGCGCGCGCACACACACACACACACACGCACGCACACACACACAGACACACACACACACACAGAACACGGTGGGTCAGCATCAAGAAGTAACGGCATCAAGCAACGAGCAGGCCATAGAAGCAATCAACGCCGTCGTTTGTTTGTTTGTGTTACACACGGTCACTCCTACACCCAACCAAACCTGTGCTAATGCTGGAGGTGTGAGATAATTCTACAGAGTAGACTCAGGAAAACAAGCTGGGCATGGTGGCTCCCGCCTGTCATCCCAGCGACTCAGGAGGCTGAGCTCGGAGGATCGCGGTTCAAAGCCAGCCTGGGCAGGAAAGCCCATGAGACTCTGATCTCCCATGAACCACCAGAAAACCAGAAGTGGCGCTGTGGCTCAAGCGGTAGAGCGCCAGCCTTGAGCTGAAGAGCTCAGGGACAGCACCCAGGTCCTGAGTTTGAGTCCCAGGACTGGCCCCAAGGAAAAGTTTGGAAGAGGAAACGGCTGTTGAACTTACCTGCTTGCTTCCCCGGCTTGCAAGAGTTCTTTGCAGCCCGTGGAGTCTCAGCCTCTTCGACTTGCAGCTCCACACACAGCCTTCCCCAAGTGACTCCATGAACTAACTCCTCCACTATCCCACAATGCCCCTGAGTGCCCGTCCCCTGGCTGAGTCGCTCAGCCCTTCTTCTGTTCCCACAGTGTGCCCTGATCCTCACTTCAAAGTAGTAGTCATCATTCTTCACATGTTGTATATAAATATATATAAATACATATACTTATGAAGACATATGCATGTATCAAGTATATAAAGATATACTTATAAACGCTGTACATAGGCAATATATGCTGTACATATATGAAACATATATATTGTTTTAATCAGTCGTGGGGCTTGAACTCAGGGCCTGGGCGCTGTCCCTGAGCTCTTCAGCTCCAGGCTGGCGCTCTACCGCTTGAGCCACAGCGCCACTTCCAGCTTTCCGGTGGTCCATGGGAGATCAGAGTCTCACAGACTTTCTTTTCTAGGCTGGCCTTGAACCGTGATCCTCAGATCTCAGCCTCCTGAGTAGCTAGGATGACAGGCAGGAGCCACCAGTGCCCGGCTGATCTTTTAACATCATTTTTTTTTTCATTAGCATAAGCAATGGAAAATCCTGAAACAGAGATGTGCAAAAATAATGGCCATGTTCATTATCAGTGTGTGTATATGATATAGATATATAATTATGGATACACTATTCGTATATATTTTAAGTATGAACAGCAGCTCACCCGATTTGGGGTAGGACACCAGAAACACATCATCTTCTCTTGCCTGGAAGGAATCCAAAGAATTCAGCAGCTCCTCGGACGTCAGGGCTGGGTACAGGGTGCCCTTGAACCTGGGAAGCTCGCTCTGCTGGTTCTCGGCTGACATCTTGCGAGGGATGAATCAGGAGCGATCTCCTAGACAGAGCAGACTCTGCCACTGAGCCGATCCCCGGCTAAGAGATCAGGCACGCTGAGAATCTCTGTGCCCGTCTGGCCAACATATAAATACCCTGCTCAGGGCTCCCCAAGAATAATCTTTAAACCTTCACTGAAGCAAAGTCTAGGGTAAAATGCTATCTGAGGCTTTCTGATAATGCTGGTTACAAAATGTTTCCTCCGACTGATCTCAGGCATTAGTTGACGTCGAAGCTGCCCGGCTATCAACGCCTAATCATCACAGATACTGCCATTAATCAAATCCTTTGGCCTAAGGCCTGTGGGTGGCTAGAATGAATCAGGTCCCAGGAGAAGTGATCTGACACTAGATTGCTACTCACAGACGCAAAAGGAGCAGCTACTGCATCCAAGAAAAGAGAAATCTGATTTTCCTAAAAATGGGGAGAAACACTGGGAGACCGTGGCTCCCGCCTGTCATCCCAGTTATACTCAGGAGACTGAGATCCAGAGGATCGTGGTTCAAAGCCAGGCCTGGTAGAAACATCTCTGAGACTCTTACCTCCAATGAACTCCCAGAAAACCAGAAGTGGAGCTGTGGCTCAAGGTGGTAGAGAGCTAGTCTTGAGCAAAAAAAAAAAAAAATTGTTCAGAAAGAAGAAAGGAATTGGTAGACATGTTTGTTTGTGATCTCACACAAACTTAGAAAGAAAAAAAAATACTTGAGAAAAGATACCATGAAATTCAGGACACACACACGTACAATGCACACACAGAAAAGAGATACCTGAACGCTTCGTGCTCAGAGGAAGTTCTAAAGTAGAGTCCGTAAGTTCTTGTCAGAGGGACTCTTGGCTTTTGTTGGTTATATTTTAATTAGGGATCCAACAGGAAGTCAGGCCTAGGTCCAGCTGGGACTTACGAGAGATTTTCCCAATAGCCTAACTTCCTCCCCCCAGGTTCCGCCCCCTCTAAAGCGTCTGCTGCTCCCCCTGAGCAACACAGGGCTGTGGATCTGGTTGTCATTTAACCTGGAGATGGCTTTCAGGGGACATTTCAGAATCAAATGCACCATCTTTCATTCATTTCTATTCAATTATATATCCTCCTCCAGCTTTGCTTTTCTGAGGTTTGAAAACAGAGAGATGAGGACCCAAGGAATCTTTTCCCACATTAAGAGAAACAAAACCAAACAACTTCAGGACCTGGCCATAGAAAACACAGAGTAAATGATAAAATATGGGTGTGTCAGGAAGTCTCAGGAGCCCATTGCTGAGAAATTCAAGGAGTAGTTAAACTTCCCACATGGGAATGGTTCAGCGTTTGGAAATATTTTAGTGATATACTATACATAATATGTCATATTATATATATATATATATAATTTTATGTATATAATATATATTTTTTAAATGTCATGGGGCTTGAACTCAGGGCCTGGGCGCTGTCCCTGAGCTCTTTTGCTCAAGGCTGGTGCTCCACCACTTGAACCACTTCCTCTGAGTAGTTCATTGGAGATAAGAGTCTCATGGATTTTCCTGCCCTGGCTGGCTTCATACCACCATCTTCAGATCTCAGCCTCCTGAGTAGCTGGGATGAAGGGCATGAACACTGGCATCTGGCAAAAATAAATTCTTTTTTTTTTTTAGTGTACAATTCCAGCCAGGCATGGTGGCTCCTGCCTGTCATCCCAGCTACTCAGGAGGCTGAGATCTGAGGATCACAGTTCAAAGCCAGCCTGGGCAAAAAAGTCCATGAGACTCTTATCTCCAATGAACCAGAAAACCAGAAGTGACGCTGTGGCTCAAGTGGTAGAGCTCCAGCATTGAGCAAAAGAGTTTAGGGACAGTGCCCAGGGCCAGAATTCAAGCCCCACGAGCAACAAAAAAACTAAACTAAACCAAAATAAAATAAAATGTACAATTCTTTCATTGTTTCTCCATGGCTGAAGTTGTTAAAAAAAAAAGGAAGTCAAATGAAGCATAAATTCCATGTAAAGTAGAATCATAAAGTTTACTCATTTGTAATTCTTATCCAGGAAGTCCTTAAGCATTCGACTAAGCAGAAAGAGTTTTACTGAACATGGAAATTAGCGTGTAGGGCTGTTGCATAAAGTCAAATGAAAGGGGAAGTTAGCAGAGGGAAAACCAGTCAGAAAAGCAAGAGGTTGGCTCCAAACAACTGAGCAACAAGGAAATAGAAAGTCATTGTCTGTCCAGGCACTGGTGGCTCACACCTCTCATCGCAGCTACTCCGGAGCCTGAGATCTGAGGACCACGACTCAAAGCTAGCAGGGCAGAAAAGTCCCCATGAGACTCTTATCTCCAATGAACTGGCAAAAAGCTGGAAGTAGAGCTGTGGTTCAAGTGGTAGAGCACCAGCCTTGAGGGAAAGAGCTCAGGGACAGCGGCCAGGCCTTGAGTTCAAGCCCCTCTATCCTGACAATAATAAAACATATTTCTTAGGTGGGCTAAACTAAATGCTGTGTGTGTGTGTGTGTGTGTGTGTGTGTGTGTGTGCGTGTGCACCTTGGGTATTAAAAAGGCTTTGAAAATTGTCATCTGAAGTCACCTGATGAATTTCTTATCTTTACAAACTGTGGGAAGTCTTTGTAATAAGTAATTTGATTTTTCTTTTTCTTCTCAAGGCATGTGAAATCTTCTGGGAATGTCACATCCTTATTTCGGTCTCTTTCACGAAGTTATTTTCTTTACATTTATCTCCTCAGTGCCTCTTCCCTTATTTCCTCCATTCTGCCACATCTTCCTCTCCTTCCCCCTCTTATTCTTCTATTATTTATTCCTCCCTCTCATGCCCTCTTATTGTATCATTTCCTCTCAATCATAGGAGAAAAAAAAAAAAAAAAACAAGAAAAAAATCCCCACTCTGTACCAAGAGGTAAATTGAACAAAAGGTGGCTGACTAAATGTCAGGGATTATTTTTCTCATTAACTGTTGATTCAGAGACACACGCCCTGCCTTTGGGGAGACTGTTTGATAGCTGAACTGTGTTCTTTTTTTAGCTTGGAAGATTGATGGCTTCTCTTAGCCCGAGGCTCTTCCATGTTTAGCTACCCAGGAGCTTAGCGATGCACGGAGACATTGAAGAGCTCAATGGGGAGGGGGTAATGGATCTGTCAATCAAGTAGGCTTCGCCTTCATTGTGGCCACATAGCTCTCCCAAGACTGCATTAGTTCGGTTTGTTCACCGTGGATCGGGTGGATCCTTGCAGGTTGCTCACAAGTGGCACCTGGAATGTAGAAAGTGCTCAAAAGGGAACAGAAAAGGAAGGCGTTCAGAGGTCCCACCTCCCCCGCCCCGGCCTCCACTGGCCACTCGGCCTCCCTGACTCAAAGGATTGGTGAGCGCTTCCTGCTGAGGGGGGCAGGACTTGGGCACATTTTCACGATGATAGGACCCCAGGGTGTCGGTGGCCCCAGTTACATCCTGGAGGGGAAAGAAGAGAAAATGATGTCTCAAGAATGAGTTCATGTTGGAGCTGAAATGGGCACCATCTTTAATTCAAACGATCCCACGCATCACCCAAAATGAGTGTGTGGAATCACACACTTTGGAATACCCAAAGAAGGAAGAGCAAGGGAAGGAAGGGAGGGAGGAAGGAAGGGAGGGAGGAAGGAGAGGGAGGGAGGAAGGAAGGAAGGAAGGAAGGAAGGAAGGAAGGAAGGAAGGAAGGAAGGAAGGAAGGAAGGAAGGAAGGAAGGAAGGAAGGAAGGACACGAAAGGGGAAATGGGATAACACATGTTGGGGGGATATGGGGGGAAAGGGACCCTATTGTACTACTGCAGGTAGGAATATAAACTAGTGCAACCACTCTGGGTAGAAGTCAGGAGGTTCCTCAAAAACTAAACATGGTATGAACCAGCCATACCACTCCTAGGCACCTACCCAGAACATCCTTAAGTCAGGATACCATAAAGCCACCCGCACAACCATGTTCATTGCCGCATATTCACAACAGCCAAGTTGTGGGAACAGACCAGATGCCCTACAATAAACGAGTGGATCCAAAAATGTGGTACCTACACAGAATGGAATTTTACACAACCATCAGAAAAAAATACTATGCTATTTGCAGGGAAATGGATGGACCTAGAACAAATCACATTAAATGAGATAAGCCAAACGCTGAGAGACAAACGGTGCCAGTTTTCTCTCTTATGCAGAAGCTAGATCTAAAATACCCTGGGACATGATAAATGACACAGGACTCTAGATATTCACACACAGGGAGACCCCAGGAGGCCGCTAAGGGGAGGAACACAAAGGGGCCAGGCCTCTGCGCCTCTGATCCTAGAAGATAATGTTTATCCAAGTGAACCTCAAGAAAAGAAAGCAAGAGGATTTTTTTTTCTTTGTTGCTGTTTCTGCTTTCTTTTCTTTCTATCTCATGTGTTTGTGTCTCTGGGAGGGTGAGGGGGAGACAGAAATGGGGGGACAGAGGAGGAAACCAAGGCAGCCGGGGTCCTCACGGGACACCAGGTGGAGAATGAGCTCTACCACGCGTGGGTGGGGACGGGAGGGAAAAATGGGGAGAGAGCGAGGGACGGGGGGACAGGGTCCACAGAGACATGCGCTCCCCACCCGACTGATGGAACTGTCACCTCCCTGCTCGTCACCTTTGTCATCACAATTTAAAATGTTTCATTTTTTTAAAATAAAAAGGAAAGGAAAATGGGCCCTGTAGAACGAGAATACGTCCTCAGTACGACGTCAGCTACTTTTTAAGGGTCTTGCAAGAGACGGCTCTTCTGCTCTTCTCCCTTCTACGAACTCCTGCGAAAACAGGACCTGCGCAGTGTGATGGAGGAAATGTAAGTGCTCAGTACTTATTTGAAAAAGAATTTTTTTTTTTGAGACAGGGTCCCTGTGTGCAGGCCTGGTGATCTTCCTGCCTCAGTTTCCTTCCAAGCGCTGAGATTACATGCAGGTACGACCATGCTAGGCCCTCTCTAATAATTCTAATGGGGGG